GAGACGGCTGTCATCCCTGCATAAGGGGATGGCTGTCCACCCCACAGGAGCCAGGGACCTGGACCATCCGTGAAGACCCTGTACCACCTCCACACTGACTGACAGGTGGTCTTGCTGGGGGAGCAGTGGCCTTTACAAGTTCCCTCCAGACACAGAGCTCTGGACTTTGTGGTTCTCTGGTCTCCTCTGTGGACAGCGCCTGTGGAAACGCTAGCCTGCAGCGGTGCCTCTGTGCACACGGGCACTGGCGGCTCCCTCTGGTCTGCACTGCCCTGGTGGCCTCTCCTCACCAAGGCCAAGATTGGAAGGCTCTCGACAAACGTGCCTTTAAGCTCAACAGGCCAACAGGCCAGCACTTCCCGGAGGTCTCAGCAGGCCCTCGCACACCCTGCCCGGGCTGTCCCCTCACCTAGGATGCTTCACGGCAGGCCCTGTGCGTCACCCGGGCTGGGGCAAAGACAGGACACTCCAGCAACAGGAGAGCTCGAGAGATTTGGGAACAACACAAGTGGATGACCTGGTACGGGCGCTGAGTCAGCGGGCAGGCGGCGCAGGACAAGCCAATCACACCGAGGACACTGCCCTCTGGTTCACCAGACCCGCAGGCCGGCTGCCTAGCTGTGAGTGCAGCAGCGAGGTACAGAGAGCAGGATGGGTGGGGCCCTTGGTCACCCCAATCAGGTCGGGAACCTTGGGCCCCTGGGAGTTTACATGGGCCCAAGAGAAGGTCCTAACCACTTCACTGCCCTGAGCAAGATGGGTGCCCTCTACAGCAGGTACTGTTACCTCTGTGTTCCTCCCAGAGGTGGCTAGCGGGGGTGAGTCACTTCTGAAGCCCTGACTACACTCACCCAGCAGGCACAGTGATCACCCCCTGGAGGTGTCTACGCTGGGCCGAGAGCTGCCCCAGGCGGGAGGACGGTCACATTGTCTATGTCCCAGATGCTGGTGCCATGATCCCCACTCATGGCACCCTGAGAGCCCAGGGGACACCTGGTCCCATCCCTCCTTCTAGAGCAGATGCTAAGTGGCTGGTTTGGCTCCTGGGGGAGAACTGACCGCCATTCTAGTCTGCACGCCTGACCGTCTACTCGTGCTCGGAACTCTACCGTCATGTCCACTCTGCCTGCACGCTGGACCAGTGGCCGGTCCACATGCCTCCCATGCAATATACCACCCTGCAGAAGAGAGGGTGCGTGGGCTTCTGAACACTAGGGGGGTGGGACTTGTGGGTCCACGCTGACATGACCACAGCCGTCTTGAAGCCCAGCCCCTCTGCTCACCCTGGGAAAATGATTGTCAGTTTTTCCTACACAGTTTCCCAGCAAACTGTGGCACACAAAGCCACCGGGGTGTGGGGCTTCACACCCAGGCCCTGCTGGGGACAAACTGGGGCTTTGACATCCAGCCAGGACGAAGTCACTTCTGTCCTAACCCATAAATATGCCCCTCTTACTGACCAAATTGCTGGGACCAATGGTCTTTCTGCCACCCAGGACCACCTTCTGCCAGCAAGTCCTCAGCCAGGGGACTACACAGCACCTGGGGCTGGACTCACAGCACCTGGGGCCTGTCCTCATGCAGGGTGACGGGGCTGTTCCAGAACAACTCGCGTGCTGGGCCCTTCAGCTTCCCCACCCAGATGCGCCAGGGAGAAAGGGAAGGCCGCCCACACTCCATCTGAGCTCACTCCCGCGGTTCCCGTGAACAAGGCACCACACCCGCCCACTTCTAGGGAACTGGCCAGGACACCCTGGGTCCAGCCAGCCAGGCCCCAGAGGACACAAAGGGATATAGGGCCTTCCAGGAGCCCCCAGGCAGTCGGCGTGGGACTGAGCAGAGGAGGGCCAGCTGGCCTAGGAGAGCTGGGGACAGTCACGCTCGACAGGTGGCT